TTTTGACACCGACAGTTGCCTACTTCACCAGAGTGTTGAACATGAACTTTGTATCCAAGCTAAAAGAGTAAAAGGAGGGCCTTTGTGGTCGGAGACAGTTGCGACTTAGGTCTTGGTGTTCGAACATCCTCCAGAAAACATAGGATTACACTAACAATTTGAACTTGGGAGAACTACACCCAATCGTCTTTGTGTTTGTGGTTCCTTACTTATTGCAATTCCCTTTTCGCAAAGTTAATTCACTAGAACTACCTGCTAAGTTATTTGTATGTAACGATGTAGCTAAAACCTGCTTTAAGATTGTCGATTTTGTCTAAGATAATTGAAAGTGAATCTTGTATCGACCATCGATTGCCTATTCACCAAAGGATTATTTGGTGGTGAATTTCCACAAATGACATCCCTGTCAACTTCTATCCCAAAATGTTAGCGGCATGGAGAGCTACACAAATTTGGACGGAACTTATAGCACAAAAAGTTTCAAAGAAGCAAATAAATTTGAATATAGTTACGTTTCCGCTCAAATTATAATTGATGGCATAGTAGCCATTGTGATATAAATGTGGCTTCTACAATTCTATTGTTTTTGTTTTTGTCGTTGGTTGGGCAGCTTTGTAGCTGTGATGCCACTCGTGCACCAAGGAGCACTAGTCAACAACGACACTTCACGGTATTGTGAATATATAGGTACTGTTGTGTGAACACTCATTGCCAATGAAGCTCATCGATTGGCGGTTGTAAACCGAAGGAATGAGTTTGTCAAGAAGAAGGCAAAAATATCGGGGACTTGTATGAGATCTCACATTTAGGTGAGATCATGAGATCAACCAAAAAAATATTATATTTAGACATTTTTAAAAAATATTAAATTATTTGACAATATTCATGTGAGGTATGTCTACAACTCCGGAAAAAATTAGCTCAAAACTTGATGTACATTTAGAGATTCGAAAGGAACAAATTTGAATGTGAATGGTTGCAGCTTTGAATGAATAGTACCTTGACACTATTTACGTCTGATTTTGTCTTTTTTGTTTCTATTAATGTAAGTCGAATTAGGAGCTGATTTTTTGTGAGGTTGTACCTCTATAATTGAAAATCATATGTATAAATTTATCTTGAAAAGCATTTCTACAACATTTAGCTTGTTTGGTTTGAACACATATACTCAATAGAAATTAGCGGTCAAAATTACATCTTAAAGACCGTGTCGGTGTGTACTGCTACATCATATTTTTGTGATACAAAGGTGGAATGGTAGTTTGAAGTTGATCCCGTCATGACGCGAGCTTGTCCATGTCTAAGATAATAATTGGTTTCGCAACCCGATAGCGTGCCTCAAACGTAAAGCACAACATTAGTTGTGAGACCTCAACAAACCGTAGATTCAGGCTCGGAATGAGAGTTCCAGCAAGTGGCTCGAGCTTCATTATGTTTGGCGAGCGACGAGACGCAGCCAAAGCCGGGCTCTGAAAATCCTCTATCCGGTACCACGCAGCACCGTCCATTTTGGTGATGAGCGAAGGAACCAAAAGCACACGATCCGAAGCTACTCTGTGGCGCACGCGTCACCAGATTGGTCCCATGTCCGTGACAGCTCAGTGAACGACCAGCACGAGCCTCGCGCCGGAACCAGACGTGACACCGCCGCGGCGTCCCCATCTTCTTCCCCGCGCGTGTAGTACGAGACACGAGACGACCACGAGAGCTCCTCGTCCCCGTGCGTTCCGTGGACCGCACAGTGTCTCGGCCCCGCCGGGGTCACGTCACGTTCAAAAGGTTACCGGGATCTCCAGGGGTCCTGATAATTTCTCTTCGGTTCCATGCCAAATACTCCAGGGGAGTATATGCATGCAGAAGAACATTTACTCTGAAATGTATCGGTCACATCCTCATGAACTGGGCAGGTCGCGAAATTCGTACGATGATGGATAACGGACGACCATGCCGAGCAGCGTACTGGAGTTCAATGAACGGAGCCCGGCACACGAACTCGGGAAACAGATGTTCGGATCTGGTAGTAGTAACAAGGCTACATGCTACAGGAGACAATCTTCCGAGTGCGTCACGGTGGCCGATAGGCGATAGCACAGGATATCATACTTAAATAGGAAAGCTGACAAGATGCACTCCTGCCCAATCTGGAAATGAAATGGTGGCCCGATCCATCTTTATTAGTACTACCCGATTTACCAGCAGGGTCGCAGGAAAAAGCGTGGCCTGACAGACACCAACCCACGTGACACGTGTGCTCTCCAGGCCCTGCTTCCTCCCTCCCTCCCTCCGGTGTAACAGCTCCATCGTGTACGCCCTGTGGACTTGTTCCTTTGATCTCTTTGGTTTGCATGATAAAACAATGAAAACAATGTAGAAGTAGTAGAGTTGCAATTTCATGCACGCAAGAATTCTAGTCTGCAGCCAAGTTTGTATGATTGCACAACATAAAAAACAAAATTATTAGTATTCCTAAGATGCGGCTTGGTATAAATTTTCAAACAAAATGGTTCTTTCCGAATATACGACCGGATATAATCTTTCTGATTAAGTGTAATGCAGGAAAAACCATACAAGATTCTTTCTTATGATAAAAAAAACAAACTAATGCAGAAAAGAATCCTTAGGATCAAATGGTCCAAAATGCCTACATAGCACGGCAAGTCTAGAGTCCTTGCCGAACATGAATGCATGCGTTCTTCATCCCTTCGGAAAAACATGTGAACCTCTTTGCAACATTGAGAAGAAATGTACCGTCTGATCAAAAGAAGATATGCTACTGAGCCTACAATTGATAATTTGGCTCTTCAATCATAATCCCTCCGTCTGAAAAAGTTTGTCCCTCAAATGAATGTATCTAGCAATACATCCATTTGAGGGACAAGCTTGGAACAAGTGGATATATCTAACACTATTGCTAGATATATTCATTTGATGGATACACTTTTTCGAACGGAGGAAGTACAATTTAGTTACAATTGTCGCGATGATCGCTCCCTTAGCGAAAATTTAGAGGTAGCCGGAATCGCTAGATCAAAGGTGGTGAATGATGATGTCAGTGGTGGTTGGTTTGGTGGCTGGATCCGGAGCTCCTGAGGTGCGGGTTGGGATCGGGGGAAACCCCTGTCGGCGAGGCCGCCATCGGCGTGGTGGCGCCCGTGGGTGCCACCTGACCTTCCGGGAGGGCGTCGGGGGCTACCCTTCCTTCCGCCTCGTCGTGTACCGGGGGAAACCTCTGGCAGCAGCGTCGTCATCATCGCGATCCTTTTTGGAGGTGTTGATAGGTGTCGGCGCTTTGGAGTCTTAGATCCTAGTGGAAGATCCCGGTGGGCGCAACGATCGCGAGGCTTCTTCGTTTTTGTTGATCCGCCGTTGTCGGCATTTGTTTTTTTTTGCTCGTTCTCTGTCGTTTCTTTTGTGCGTGACTGTGCTGCTTCCGTCGCAGCACCTAACCATGTATGGTCCGGTTGGTTGCTTTGCATACAAAACGGGGGAAAATCTTTTTTCGGTAATGATGATGTCGACATTGTGCATAGCGTCGATGAATATTTTCTTCTTAGCAAGGCGTCTGTACTTTGTGTGGGTAGCTAGACCGGCCATTGATGTTGGATGTCCATCATGCTCCATGAGGGTAGTTGGGTTTGTATCTCAGTTATCATTTTGTTCTTTTTTCTAAAAGAAATACTCCCTCCATTCTACTTGCTTCGTTCTTAAATATTTGTCTTTCTAGAGATTTCAACAAATAACTACATACAAAGCAAAATGAGTGAATCTACACTCTAAAATATGTCTATGTGGTGGTCCATTTAAAATCTTAAAAAGACAAATATTTAGGAACGGAGGGAGTAGTATAATATACTTCTTCTGTACCAAAATAAGTGTCTCGATTTTGTACTAACTTTAGTATAAAGTTGCCTAAGTTTGAGACACTTATTTTAGGACGGAGGGAGTAAAATATTATGACAACCGATATAGTGGCACTGAGGGAGTAGAAATGTTTTCATTTGGTAGTTGAGCATGTATCTCGAGCATGAACCACGAGAAAGAAACTTCACATTCGCGTATAATTCGACGTTCTGCTCCGTATCTTCTCACACACACAAATCTATTGACCCTTTCATGGAAAATGGCGAGCAAAAATAACCTCAGAAAACAAGGAGCCAAAGAAAGAACTATCGAAGGGGAGCACCGAAAACAACCGACGCGCCCTTCATTTTCTCCTGCCTTTTGGTCTTCTACCACTGAAATGAAAATAAAAAATATCTCTAGAGCCTCCCAAGAATTGTTCGTCTCGCCCAATTTCTCGGATCCCGTCACTCTCCCCTCTCCGTGACCCCTCCCGTCCATTACAAAAGGAGCCCCCGGCCTCCAGAGTTTACAGGTTCCCATTCGGTGCCCGTCCCGAGGCCTTATCGCCACCTCCCCCACACACACCGAGTGCTCGTGCTCGACGCAATTCCCCACCCCGCGATGAGTGCGGCGGACAAGGTGAAGCCGGCGGCCAGCCCGGCGTCGGAGGATCCCTCCGCCATCGCCGGCAACATCTCCTACCACGCGCAGTACAGCCCCCACTTCTCGCCGCTCGCCTTCGGCCCCGAGCAGGCCTTCTACGCCACCGCCGAGAGCGTCCGCGACCACCTCCTCCAGGTGCTGCTTTGCTTTCTCGCTTTCTCGCGCCGCCCGCTCGCGTCCGCCGTCGCTGCCGCGGTGCTGAATGTTGATCTGTGCTTTTGTTTCTGCAGAGATGGAACGACACGTACCTGCATTTCCACAAGACGGATCCCAAGCAGACCTACTACCTGTCCATGGAGTACCTGCAGGGCCGCGCGCTCACCAACGCCGTCGGCAACCTCGCCATCACCGGCGCCTACGCCGACGCCCTGAAGAAGTTCGGCTACGAGCTCGAGGCCATCGCTGGACAGGTGAGCGAGCTCGAGCTCGATCGAAGCGCCTCTCGTCCTAAATTGGAGTGTGCTTCGTTAAGGCTGTCTATTTTCGTACTCTTGGGAGTGACATTATTTAATCAGTGCTTTGTTTGACCGTGACATTTTCTAATTGAAGTACTAGTACTCCCTCCGTCCCGTAATATAAGACGAAAACGTTTTACGGAGGGAGTACTACGTTTTGTGTGGCTTTTTGTAGAAGCGGTTCAGGTATCTGGTTGGGTGGCTTAGATTTCTTGATCCATTATTTAACCAAACAAAAAAAAAAGTGCACTACACAAGGCGTAGATCACTGCATGTCTCAAAAAGAATTGTGCAAGGCGTAGGAGGTGCACTATACAAGAGAACCACTGCACTATTTTAGATCTGAAACCGTAAGTCTATCTGGTTTCATGTATCTGTTCCGGTATCTGCTTTTATTGGAACTCAGCCTTTTTGATGATCATTGTAGAAGCTCTTTTATACCCTACTACCCCGGGGTCGTAGATCACTGGTAAGAACAATTGAAAATCAGTTGTTTACAATAGCAACACGAGCAGATCTAGGGTCTGCAAGATTGACATTTTTCTCCTCTGTTAAGCACCATCACTTAATATGAATCTAGATCTGTTACCAAAAGCTGAATTATGGGTTCATGGCACCGGGATAGAAAATAAAGCTTTTGATTGAAACATCTGGACCCTCTTTTCACCAGTAATTGATGGTGTGAATTTGTCTTGAATTCAGGAGAGAGATGCGGCTCTGGGAAATGGTGGCTTGGGCAGGCTTGCATCTTGCTTTTTGGATTCAATGGCAACGCTGAACTTGCCTTCTTGGGGCTATGGCCTTCGTTACCGTTATGGCCTGTTCAAGCAGCGCATTGCCAAGGAGGGCCAAGAAGAAATCGCTGAAGACTGGCTTGATGTACCAGTTCTATATGCTAATAACATTCTTCACAAGCCTTTTTTATCTATATCTCGATAATAGCTTTGCTGTTTAATATTTTTCAGAAGTTTAGCCCATGGGAGATTGTCAGGCATGATGTTGTATACCCAATCAGATTTTTCGGCCATGTCGAGATTTCGCCAGATGGAAAGTAAGCCATAGATGGACACCTGGACAAGTGCTATTGTGATAAAATATTGATTAATAGCTTGAGATGGAGTTTTTTATGACACCTTCTAAATTCAAAACGATAGTATGGTGCTTCTTTAGCTGCATTTCTTTTCCATGTTTTAATTTACAGATCTAGGATCTTCTGTACTCCATGCTGGTTTGATCAGATGTTTTGAATATGTATTTTTTTTTTGCTCCAAAAAATTTGAGCGTGTATGAATGAATGTTCATGCATGATTGCATGAAACTACATTTGGCGATGCTTTAAGCAGAATTGTTGTACATCAGACTGGATAAAAAAAACTAGATTTGGTGATGCTTTAATCAGAGCTCTTGTACATTAGACTGGATCCATTATCACAGACTCGCTATTTATTAATTTTATTGGTTTTTATTCCAAGGCCTTTTTGTGTCCCTCTAATTGATACATTTGTTTGCTTTATCATGTGATAGGCGGAAATGGGCCGGTGGAGAAGTTCTGAACGCTTTAGCGTATGATGTGCCAATTCCTGGGTACAAGACAAAAAATGCAATCAGTCTTCGCCTTTGGGATGCAACAGCTACTGCTGAGGATTTCAACTTATTTCAGTTCAATGATGGCCAGTATGAGTCAGCTGCTCAACTTCACTCGAGGGCACAGCAGGTGATATGCAAGTCCTAAACTGAGTCACTCAATTGCTCGTATATGATAAATCAAGAGCGCCTTTAACTTTGTGAATACTGCTCCTGATCGATGGCATCATATACTAAACCAGTAATTTTATTTTTTGTTTAAAGCAAGCACGTCCAATATAACCTGCCCTGTGTGATAGCCATGTTTTCCTATGGATTTCACGCACTAACCATCTCATCAAACAACTTGATCACAAATAATGCTAAAAGGTTATCTATTGTGGTTTTAACATGCTTTTTAGATGTGACTATAAGTGAGGTGTTAATCCATCCTAGTTAATAAGTTGAAGATTATGTGTGTTTCCTATCTGTCATCTGCTATCAATGCCTATATCTAAACCAGAAATAACTGTCGTATCTTTTCGCTCCAGTTTCATCTTTCATGAATTAGCTAACTTGATTTAAATTATATTGTATATCCTGTAGATATGTGCTGTTCTCTATCCTGGTGATGCTACAGAAGAAGGGAAGCTTCTGAGATTAAAGCAGCAGTATTTCCTTTGCAGCGCATCACTTCAGGTAATTATGCGGTTAGTTTCATTTGGAATGATGGTTACTGTAAAAGGAAGGTGCACCTATGGCCAGCTTGTGCTTTTCTGTTTGGTTGAGAAATGATGTTAGAGATACTTGCATTGTCTTCTTGTATTGTTGCACGCTGCATCAAATTTCCACCATCTTGCACGAGAAAAATGCATGATCAAGGTTCATTTAGAAAACTTGTATCACTATTATCATTATCATGACCATACTTTTGAGTCCCGTTACATTTATATCATCCTTCCTATTTTTACGCAGTTACAACGTGGTTTTATTTCGTCTTTTCTCAATATCTTTTCTTTTGGTCCTCCATGATAAATATTGACAAGCATAACTGACTATGATTTTTTCCAGGATATTATTTTCAGATTTAAAGAAAGAAAAGCTGACAGAGTTTCAGGGAAGTGGAGTGAGTTCCCTTCCAAAGTTGCTGTTCAAATGAATGACACTCACCCAACTCTTGCCATCCCTGAGCTAATGAGGTTGCTTATGGACGTGGAGGGACTTGGTTGGGACGAAGCCTGGGCTGTCACAAATAAGTGAGATTTTCACCAATATTAAATTTGCATTATTACCTTTACATACTTATTTACAAATCTGTCTCATGGTCCAGGACGGTTGCTTACACCAATCACACAGTTCTTCCTGAAGCTCTCGAGAAATGGTCACAGGCTGTAATGAGGAAATTGCTTCCACGTCACATGGAAATCATTGAGGAAATTGACAAGCGGGTAAGTGTCAAGCCGCATTTACTCTTTCGGTACACAACAGTTATGGCACAAAATGACAAAGTTGTGCCATTTGCTTGCAGTTTAGAGAAATGGTAATCTCCACCCGGAAGGATATGGAGGGAAAGATCGAATCGATGAGGGTTTTAGATAACAATCCCCAGAAGCCAGTAGTGCGGATGGCGAATTTGTGTGTTGTGGCTGGGCATACGGTATTCTTATTTCATTGCCATGCTCTGCATCCTGTTATTTCATTTTTCATGTTCTACAGCCCATTACACGGTAGTTTTGTCTCTAGACTCCTACTGGACCATTTTACATTGTTTTCCTTTTTAAGATAATAAAGGCATAGTGAATATCCTCCTACTGGACCATGATTACTTTATTTATGTATTTTGCAATTTGCTGTATCATACTCATTCTCTGAGAAAATGTTTCTTGTAATCCCATTATTGTACTTGCTTCTTTATGCTAACTTGCTAAGATTTTTTATTAAAATGTAATTTATGGGCGCTTCAATTAGTTCTGGAGCTCTCTGTTCTGTACTTTTTGTGCTATTCCAGCATCGATTTGCCTTCCTGTATCATGTGAGGTAGACCATAATGAAGTGTACTAAATTCTTCTGACAGGTGAATGGAGTGGCCGAGTTGCACAGCAACATCTTGAAACAAGAGCTGTTTGCAGATTATGTCTCTATTTGGCCTAACAAATTCCAGAACAAAACTAATGGAATTACACCACGTAGATGGCTCCGTTTTTGCAACCCCGAGCTGAGTGAAATAGTCACGAAATGGTTAAAAACAGATCAGTGGACAAGCAACCTTGATCTTCTCACCGGGCTTCGGAAAGTATGTGTGCATGCTTCCAGTCTTGCATCTGCTTTTGTTATTGCCCACCACACTATCACAGTATAACTGAAAATTTTAACAGTTCGCAGATGATGAAAAACTACATGCTGAGTGGGCAGCAGCCAAGCTGGCCAGCAAAAAGCGCTTAGCCAAGCATGTGTTGGATGTGACTGGTGTTACAATTGATCCAAATAGCCTTTTCGATATACAAATTAAACGCATCCACGAATACAAGAGACAGCTGTTGAACATTTTGGGAGCTGTGTACAGATATAAGAAGTTAAAGGTTTGGCTTATTTCTTGGAGTTACCCTATTCTTACAGCTTTACTATGTCTCAATTAGATGGAAAATATTCAGTACTACGGTCCTGAAATAGGCTTATGTATCATTTTAGGAAATGAGCGCAGAAGAGAGGAAGAAGGTTACACCACGCACTGTCATGGTAGGAGGGAAAGCATTTGCAACATACACCAATGCTAAAAGAATAGTGAAATTGGTAAATGATGTTGGTGCTGTGGTGAACAATGATGCTGATGTCAACCAATATCTGAAGGTATCAATTGTACAGCATCCACATCTTCTTTGGCAATTGCCATCCAATCGAAATATACATATAATTTTGGTGGGATGAACATTACTGAAATAAATTAAAATTAAATTGTGTTATATGATTTAATATGAGGTTCTTGTTTCTCCAGGTGGTGTTCATTCCAAACTACAACGTATCAGTGGCTGAAGTGCTCATTCCTGGCAGTGAACTGTCACAGCACATTAGTACTGCAGGCATGGAAGCAAGTGGAACAAGTAACATGAAGTTCTCTCTGAATGGCTGTGTTATCATTGGAACTCTGGATGGAGCCAATGTTGAAATCAGAGAAGAAGTAGGGCAAGACAACTTCTTCCTTTTCGGTGCCAAAGCAGATCAGATTGCTGGTCTGAGGAAGGAAAGGGAAGATGGCTTGGTAATATATCTTCCTGTGGATTGCGCGTTAGTTAAATGCAATATTACTATATTAGGCTAGCCGGACTTGCAAATAGCTAATCTATTTGTGGTGCTCATAGTCTACCGATTTCAGTATACATTCTCACCAAGTCACTATCAGATGGGCTATTAACTTATTCTTTGTCTCAATATGAACAGTTCAAGCCAGACCCACGCTTTGAAGAAGCCAAACAGTTTATCAGGAGTGGTGCTTTCGGCACCTACGACTACACTCCTCTCTTGGATTCCCTTGAAGGGAACACTGGATTTGGGCGTGGTGACTACTTCCTTGTTGGCTATGACTTCCCAAGCTACATTGACGCACAGGCCCGGGTTGATGAAGCCTACAAGTAAGGATACAAACACAATATTCCTTCTATTGGGCTGATACTTTGAATTCTAGAACTAAATACCATTGCAGTTCCCATGACAGGGATTTGCTGAATATCGTAATGCTGAATCCTTAACTCATGTTTCCATGACAGGGACAAGAAGAAATGGATCAAGATGTCCATCTTGAACACGGCTGGAAGCGGCAAGTTCAGCAGCGACCGCACCATCGACCAATATGCGAAGGAGATCTGGGGCATTTCGGCTTGCCCTGTTCCATGAAGAGGAGACGTGATCAAGAGGTGTTAGATGATGATGCGTGGCAGTAATAAGGACCTTATACTGGTCCATGGTGAATAACCCCTGCTTCCGTTGTAGCTGAGAAGAATGAAGCAACGTACGAAGCCTGTTGTGTTGTGTATTCTGCTGCACTTTTGAAGTGCATAGAGGATGCGACTTTTCTTTTGTTCTTTTTCTTTTTTGGTCTGTAACCATACTATTTTGATCCTGAACCGGAATGGGGGAATCATCCAGGTTCTCAATAAAATAGTTCAAGTTTTGATTACCTTTGGTATCGAAATGTTGTTTTGTGATCATGTTGCCTATGTAGTTAGGATTACAACCTCCATCCATAAATCTAATTTATTCAGGTTTGAGAATTATTGGGTGGAAATTGAAGTTTTTTTTGTTGTGTCAAGTAGTCTTGGGAGAGGTCATCCAGAAAGACTCATATCTCATAAGCTGAAATCTCTTAGGCAGGATTTGAAGAAATGGCAACAAGGTCATTGTTATTCTAAATAATTTGGAGGAATTGAGGCCTTTGAAGAGGCATTTGTTGCATAAAAAACAGATGTACCAGCTGTAGCGTCTCGACATTGATCTGGAAGACCTGGGCGCCACCAAAAGTAAAGTTTTTCAATTGGCTCGCCAACCTGGATAGGTGTTGGACTGTTGAGAGACTGCAACGTCGTGGCCTGCAGCACCACCCCTGCTGTGTCCTTTGCGACCAGGAAAGTCGGAGACGATGCACCACCTACTAGTTTCATGCCCCTTCTCGAGGCAGGTATGGCACAATACCCTTGTCTGGTTAAGGATGACGTGCAGACTACCTAACTGGGATGCCTCCATCTCCGGATGGTGGCTTGCTGTCAAGGCGACGACCCCCAAACCGCTTCGCAAGGGACTGGCAAATGCGATGCTATTGATGGGATGGATGATTTGGAAACAATGAAATGCTTGTGTCTTCGATGGGGATCAACCATCCGTCCACCAGCTAACAAAGAGAATCAAAGCAGAGGCCGCCCTATGGGTTGAGGCTGGGGCTTCAAAACCTCCGATTGGTGACCCCAAGCACCTGGGATGTCCACCAAGATCATTGTAACATAAACTGTAAACCCCCCTCCTAGGAGGCATGTAACCCCCCCTTCAATGAAAAGAAATGCAAAGTCTTTGTGTTTTCTCGAAAAAAGAGATGTACCATTAGGTATATCAAGGTGGGGGAGGAGAATACAAAATTCTTTCATGGTATAGCAACTGAGAGGTTCAGCAGGAATTCTATTGCCAGTCTTTGCAGCTTACCGATGGGACTGTGATTCCTGATCACAACCAGGTGGAGATGTTATTTGGTCTACTTTTAAGGGGAGGATGGGGGTGGCTAAAGGGATTAATATGTGATTTAAATTCTCTCCTCAACCATGTGGATGGACTGGATGAATTAATAAAGCCTTTTGAAAATGATGAAATGGATTTAATTGTCAAGAATATGCCTATTGACAAGGCCCTAGGACCCGATGGCTTCAATGGCCTTCTCTTTAAGAAATGTTGGCCCATCATTTGCAAAGAATTCTATGCTCTTGCTTAGTCCTTCTATGAGTGGAACGTCAGGTTAGATAATATTAATGGATCTTATATTACCCTAATTCCCAACAAGCTTTCACCCGAAACAATAGGGGGTTATAGGCCAATTTCTCTTACTGGCATGGGCTTGAAGTTTTTGTCAAAGATTGCTGCTAACAGGTATCAAAAAGATAATATGAGATGCATTCACAGAAATCAATATGGTTTTATTACGAGCGGGACAATACAAGATTGCATTGGTTGGACACTTGAATACCTCCATTGGTGCCATCAATCCTAAATGCCCATTTTAATTCTGAAATTGGACTTTGAAAAGGCTTTTCATTCTATTGAGCATTCAACCATCTTGGAGATCCACAAACATGAAGGTTGTGATTCTAAATGGATTTGCTGGGTGGAGCAGCTTTTATCCACTAGAACATCATCTGTTCTTTTGAATGGTGTTCCTGGGAAGTAGTTTGTTGTAAGAGGGGTGTTAGGCAGGAATATCCTTTATCTGCTTTGTTGTTTGTACTTGTAGCTAATCAACTTCAGTCGTTGGTTAATGACATGCATTAGAGGTGTGTGTTGCAGCTCCCAATCCCTTGCCATGACCAAGATTACCATATTGTCCAATATGCTGATAATACTTTGATAATCATATCCGTAGAGGAAATTTAATTACGCCCTTAAAAGTATGTTGCTGGTTTTTGCTACTCATGAGCTGCGTTGAAGAGGAGAGGATGAAGCAGTATAGTAGAGATAAGTGTTTCCCTCAGTTAAGAACCAAGATTATCAATCCAGTAGGAGAACCACATAGAAACTCGTTAGCAGCACCTGCACACACAAAAGCAAATACTTGCACCCAACACAAACAAGAGGGTTGTCAATCCTCTTGGCGGTTATTTGCAAGGATTAAATCTCGTAGTGGTAGATAGATAAAGTAAATTGCAAAATAAAATAAAATAGAAAAAGTGCAGCAAGGTTTTTTTGGATTTTATATATGATAAAAGTAGACCCGGGGCCATAGTTTTCACTAGAGGTTTCTCTCTCGAACACATAGCATACCGTGTGTAAACAAATTACTGTTGGGTAATTGATAAAAAATGCATAGTTATGACGATATTCAAGGCAATGATCATATATATAGGCATCACCTTCGAGACAAGTAGACCGACTTCTGCCTGTATCTACTACTATTACTCCACCCATCGACTGCTATCCAGCATGCATCCAGGGTATTAAGTTAATAAAAATAGAGTAACGCCTTAAGCAAGATGACATGATGTAGACAAAGTAAATCCAAGCAATATGAACAAACCCATCTTTTTATCCTTAATGGTAACAATACAAATGCGCGTCCTTTCCTTTTCTGTCACTAGGATGGAGCACCGCAAGATCAAACCCATTACAAAGCACCTCTCGCATTGCAATATAAATCAATCTAGTTGGCCAAACCAAACGGGTAAACCCAAGAGAATTACAAAGCTATAACAATCATGCATAAAAGAGTTTAGAGAAAACTCAATTAATATTCATAAATATTCAGATCATAAACCACAATTCATCGGGTCCCAACAAACACACCACAAAAGAAGATTACATCGGATAGAACTCCAAGAAGATCGAGGAGCACATGGTATCGAAGATCAAAGAGAGAGAAGAAGCCATCTAGCTGCTAACTATGGACCCGTAGGTCTGTGGTAAACTACTCACGCATCATCAGAAGGGCAACAAGGATGATGTAGAAGCCCTCCGTGATCGATTCCCCCTCCGTCAGAGTACCGTAAAAGGCCTCCAGATGGGATCACGGAAGAATAGAAGCTTGCAGCGGCGGAAAAAGTGTTTCGGGTGCCTCTATGGTATATTGGGAATATTTTATGAATTTATAGAGGTGGAATTAGGTCAAGATGTGCCACGAGGAGCCCACAATCTCAAGGGGCAAGATGTGGAGTTAGATCAATTCATCATGTAATCTTTCTTTTATGGTATGAATATTAAGATCTGAATGATTCAAAGCAATAGTCTATAATTTGATATAAAGACATCAATACTTAGGCATACTAACAAACAATCATGTCTTTTAAAATAAAAATGCTAAAGAATGTTATCCCTACAAAACCATATAGTCTTGCCATGCTCCATCTTCTTAACACAAAGTATTTATCATGTACAACCCTAATGACTAGCCGAGCAATTGGTTCATACTTTTTAACGCGCTTTAGCTTTTTCAAACCCCATGCAATACATGAGCGTAAGCCATGGATATAGCACCGTGGGTGGAATAGAATACGGTGATAGAAATCAATGAGAAGTTGAAAAGGAAGAAAGTCTCACATCGATGCGACTAATCAACGGGCTATGGAGATGCCCATCAATTGATGTCAGTGCGAGGGGTAGGGATTGCCATGCAACAGATGCACTGAGAGCTATAAGTGTATCAAAGCTCAAACTGAAAACTAAGTGGGTGTGCATCCAACTTGCTTGCTCACGAAGACCTAGGGCATTTTGAGGAAGCCCATCATTGGAATATACAAGCCAAGTTCTATAATAAAAAATTCCCACTAGTATATGAAAGTGATAAAATAGGAGACTCTCTATTATGAAGAACATGGTCCTACTTGAAGCACAAGTGTGGAAAAAGGATAGTAACATTGTCCCTTCTCTCTTTTTCTCTCATTTTTTTCTTTTATTTTTTTCTTTTTTCTTTTATTCTGGATTCTTTGGCCTCCTTTTTTATTTGGGCTTCTTTGGCATATTTTTTTCTCCCATTACAAAGCACCTCTCCCACTGAAGATAAATCAATCTAGTTGACCAAACTAAACGGATAGATCAGAGAGAAATACAAAGCTATAACAATCATGCATAATAAAGTTCAGAAAATACTCCATTAATATTCATAAATATTCAGATCATAAACCGACAATTCATCGGATCCCAACAAACATACCACAAAAGAATATTACATAGGATAGAATTCCAAAAAGATCGAGGAGAACATGGTATTGAAGATCAAAGAGAGAGAAGAAGCCATCTAGCTACTAGCTATATGAAAGAACATGCGGTGCCCCCATGTTTGGTTTTGGTAATTGATGAAAATCTCTATGGACTAATGGTTGCCTTGAGTTTTATTTGAAGGATTTGTCCATAGGCTTTTCTTGGAGTCCATTTGTTGGTTTCAAGGAGAATTTGTGATGACCAAGGTGCCATTCAAGGAATTACCTAAAGATTGGTCATGTGAGAGGTTGATCAAGACTAAGTCAAAGAGTGAACCAAGTTGATCAACACACAAAGCGTAGAAGATGTACCGAGAGGGATCAAGCGATCCCATGGTATGGTAAGCATTGTCAATTACACTTTGTGTACTAACCCATGATCTTCGTGAGAGTTCTTTGTGGGGTTAGGTTGTGGTGTGCAGGTTCAAGTGAAGCATCACGAAGAGATCA